AGGGGCAAAACTTCACATGATTAGTGTGAGACTTAGTTAAGTATCTTCATTTCCACATCAAGCACACAGCAATCTCCTGTCCATATCTACTTGGTTCTCAATTGCTTTCTCCCTAACACCTAATGTTCCTTTTCCTATTAACTCTGGCTAGCACATTGATCTGCATACCTACAAACAACATTAACATAATTTTCTTCTTCCTGTTGAGAGACAAACAGTATTCCTTTAACTTACTCAATTATTACAGCACAATTCATCTTTCTCTTACATTATAATTCTTTCTACTTTCACAACACACATAACCTGACTGACTGTGTTCTGGAAGGTACAGCACAACGGTTATACTTGTGGTTGTTCAAAAGCTGATGCTCCCAAATTTCTTTACATTTGAAACCTCATGTGGGTAGGAAAGAGTTTTTACCAGGCCTCAGAGTTTGTACAAATCAAAAGGAAATATGATATCCCAGGTTTTCAAGGTCTGGCAGGAATATGCATTGCAGAGGTATCACGTATTTACCTGCAGTTATATACATAGGTCTTGCAGTACATAGTGGTGACCCACAACTTTGTCCATTCTGTCTATGTCTAGCAGACAGAGCAGAGCACTGGATACAATGCAAAAATAATCTTTGTTACTACTGCAAATGTTGGCCATTTAACATATATAAGATCCTAAAAGCAAACCTGACTGGCCAATGAGCTGTAAAAGAATGAGATCGATGCACATCCAGATTTCAGGTATATAGCAGGTATATTTTATTAACTATTTTGTAATAGTAGGGAAAACATCTTTGTAGCCTATGTAACAATATTTGTGTGAGTTAATTATATTCTACTTCATTAATAATGTCCTTGAACAGACCAGTGCCAGACCATCATTTCACAAATCTTACTCCTAGATGATTTTAGGATAATCTTTGTGGAGTAGTTAGTATTTGAGGGTATGTCTACACTACCCTCCTAGTTCGAACTAGGAGGGTAATGTAGGCATACCGCACTTGCAAATGAAGCCCGGGATTTGAATTTCCCGGGTTTCATTTGCATAAGCGGGGAGCCGCCATTTTTAAAACCCCGCTGGTTCGAACCCCGTGCAGTGCGGCTACACGGGGCATGAACTAGGTAGTTCGAACTAGGCTTCCTAGTTCCAACTACCGTTACTCCTCATTTCACGAGGGGTAACTGTCAGAGGTGCACATGCTTGTGCTGTCAGAGGTGCACATAGGGTGGCTGTTAATATCAATGAAGCTCTGAGGAACCACTTTGACAAGGAGGAGGCCTGACATTTCTGTGTGTTGGGATTGCTTACTTGCCTCTAAGTGAGGCATTCTCATGGAACCAAAAAGTTAAGGACTGAGTGATTAATATGGGTTAACACAAAATAAAAAACTCAGGGAAACATGCATGACATTTGTCTTTATTGATGTCTTGTGGCAGGGGATGGGAAGGGTTCTTTGAAAACCTCACTGCTATGCTAATGTCCAGCTGTCACAGCTGCCTTCATGGGGAGTGGAAAGTAATGGGAAGAAACCATTACTGGATTGTGAGTGTGTGGGTGTAGAGGAAGAGTTGCTGGACAAAGACTTGCTCCTTTGCAGTCATGAATGGTGATGTGTGAGAGTAGAGGGACAGTTGCTGGGAAAAGATTTCTGTATGTGGCGCATGGGAGGCCTTTGGTTCTGGTCTCTATTATTCAATCAGGATTATACTCCTCATGATGTCATTTTGGTCCTACATGAGCTGTAGCATGCACTCAGCGGTCTCATTGCTGTGCGCCCTGATCCTAGCTTGCACATACTGAAGACAAAAAACCCATCTCATTCCTACTTGGAGACACCTGTGCTAATTCTCCTTCCTTCACTACAGTACCTGAACCACTATATTGACAGTTAAAAAGTTTACTTCTAAAGCACTCAAACTGGGAGTTCATGAAAAAATTGATAATGCTTTAAATGATTCCTTCCTCTAGGTCTCCTAGCATGCCCTGTCTTCCAGGCCCCAAACAGGTGAAAACTTGCACAGGTGCTTAGCTGTGGGCACTGGAAGTAGCCCCCCTAAAGTCACAGCGTGATTTGTCTTTTTCTCTCATGTGCAGCCCCCGCGCTGTGGCCAGGGGACAGCAGGAGCACGGCGGGCAGAGCCAGAGCGCAGCCCTCACTGCTCTCAGCCTAGGGACCAGGGCGTGGCGAGGGGCTAGCACGGCCGGAGAGAACAGTCTCGTTTGACGCCAAGGGCCGCAACGCGGAGCGGGAGGCAACTCGCACATGGGGCGGGGGCGGGCAGCGTCCCCCCTCCGAGCGGCCTGTGGCTCGGCTCCTTCTCCCGCACAGCCCGGCTCCTGCCCCCCA